CTTCATTTTTAAATCTTTGTTTTTGTTAACTGATACTGACAGTGTTGTTTATATTAGCTGATCATAAAACTGATGAATACAGATATCACATTTTTTATGACTTAGATTTCTTGAGGTGAACCCCATCATCCTCGGACAAATCATTTTTGGGATAGTGAGCAAACAAGCAGATTCCGAAAAAAATGTTTCCGTTTCCAAGGCCAAACTGTTTCAAGCACACAGCCCAGCAAAAGCACAGGCTTAGGCACACAGAGTGATAAAGCAGCAGGACTTCCTTCACTTTAAAAAAATAGAATATTCTATATTATTTGAAAAACATTATCTCTAACACATCTGCTTTGCAAATAACTGAATGCCATGACAGTCCCAGTTAGATCAAAGTTAGATCAAACTGCCTGTGAGCATTTGAAGCTTTTAAAAACACTTGTCATACATCTTAGTGGAAGTCTTTTGGGCAGCTTATTTTCCTTGATATAATTTTGTCACATATTGGAAGCCCTGCCACAAACAAACACGCACGCTGTTCAGACATGCATGCTGTTCAGTTCAGTCTAGAGCTTTAGTTGTCACCCTGTGATGCTAATTGGTACTTTGCTCAAACAGATGTTCCTGATACCTTTACAGGCCATGGAAAAGGCTGCAAAAACATTCTTATCTCACTTTGTGCAAAGTAAGACGCATTATCAAAATCCCACCATATAGCAGGTAAAAGAGAAAACAAGTAGATATCTTCCAAAGCGCAACATTGCTGTTTTTCTCACATTTCCTATGTTAATCGGGGGATGAATGGAAGGATTAATTGAGAGTAAATTTTCAGAAATTCAAATGAAAGCTTGAAGATTGTATTCTGATTGCACAGGACTGTATTAGCAGATTGATGAAATATGAGTACGCATGAGGCATAATTTGTTTAGTTTTACTGATGAGAGTCAAACAAACTCCGATGGTTCCAAAAAGTACAAAGGAATTGTTAGAATCTAACCACGTAGAGAAGAAGGAACACTGTCTTGAGACATTTGTTTCGACTTGTGAGAGCCTTGTGATATTGCATTCAGTCCTTTCACATTTTCAAATCATCTAGAATTACCTCTTACTTGCAAACACTCTGGCGTATATCCAGGAGGAGAACACTGTGCATCAAGCGATGCCACTTTGCTCACGGCAAAACTTCAGGGAACAAAAACACGCTGAGGCAGTTTGCCACGAAAAAAAGAAGAAGTTATAAAGTACAAAGTAGCTTCAGAAGAGAGCGCCTCAGGAAACAGATTGTGTAATTTCACCTTGATGTAAAACCTGAACAGAGATGATACAAAGAGAGTTAATACAGCTTTCAGGTCAGCTTTTTGTGTTGGGGTGCACACCGCCCCAAACTGTAATATCCACCTCAACTGACTCTTCGAATAACCTTGTCACCATTGTGGAGTTGTCATGGCAACAATTTTGGAATGTCACCAAGAGTGCACTTTTAGCATTAGTGTTTTTTTTTTTCTTTTTTACTTCTTCTGTTTTCCAGAAAGGACACAATGATGCACAGCCAGTGTAACTTTGAATGGTATTTATGTTTTCACATTACTTGTGAAACCTCGTTTTGAGTCATTTAGAAGTTCTGGTAACCTTTTTTATTGGACCTTTAGACTTAGGAATTCATAATCTAATCACATTTTATGTGAGAGCAAATTGTGGGTGTCACGGCAACCTGGATAATAACAGTCCTTTGCACTGTTACAATGACTTTGCCAAGACTGTGAATTATTAAATAATGAACTGCCTTGAAAGCGACTCTGCAACATCGCGTGGACATCAGGGGCAGTCCCGCTGGATTGGCAGACTGGGGTGGTGGTCCCCCTATTTAAAAAGGGGGACCGAAGGGTGTGTTCCAACTATAGGGGGATCACACTCTTAAGCCTCCCTGGGAAGGTCTATTCAGCGGTTCTGGAGAGGAGGGTCCGTCGGATAGTCGAGCCTCGGATCGAGGAGGAGCAGGGTGGTTTTCGTCCTGGCCGTGGAACGCTGGACCAGCTCTATACCCTCAGCGGGGTCCTAGAGGGTGCATGGGAGTTCGCTCAACCAGTCCACATGTGTTTTGTGGACTTGGAGAAGGCGTTCGACCGTGTCCCTCGGGGTATCCTGTGGGGGGTGCTCCGGGAGTATGGGGTACCTGGCCCCTTGTTACGGGCTGTTAGGTCCCTGTACGACCGGAGTCAGAGTCTGGTTCGCATTGCCGGTAGTAAGTCGGACTCGTTTCCGGTGGGAGTTGGACTCCGCCAAGGTTGCCCTATGTCTTCGGTCCTGTTCATAACTTTTATGGACAGGATTTCTAGGCGCAGCCGAGGTGTTGAGGGTGTCAGTCTTGGTGGCCTTAGGGTCGCATCTCTGCTTTTTGCAGATGATGTGGTCCTGTTGGCTCCATCAAGTCGGGACCTACAGCTCTCACTGGAGCGGTTTGCAGCCGAGTGCGAAGCGGCTGGGATGAGGATCAGTGCCTCCAAGTCCGAGACCATGGTCTCTCACCGGAAAAGGGTAGAGTGCCTTCTCCGGGTCGGAGCGGACGTCCTTCCCCAAGTGGAGGAGTTCAAGTATCTCGGGGTCTTGTTTGCGAATGGGGGTAGGGAGCGTGAGATCGATAGGCGGATCGGTGCGGCGTCTGCAGTAATGCGGGCGCTGTACCGGTCTGTCGTGATGAAGAGAGAGCTGAGCCTAAAGGCGAAGCTCTCAATTTATCGGTCGATCTACGTTCCCACCCTCGTCTATGGTCACGAGCTTTGGGTAGTGACCGAAAGAACGAGATCGCGGATACAAGCGGCCGAAATGAGTTTCCTCCGCAGGGTGGCGGGGCTCTCCCTTAGAGATAGGGTGAGAAGCTCGGCCATCCGGGAGGGGCTCGGAGTAGAGCCGCTGCTCCTCCACGTGGAGAGGAGCCAGTTGAGGTGGCTCGGGCATCTGTTCAGGATGCCTCCTGGTCGCCTCCCTGGGGAGGTGTTCCGGGCTCGTCCCACCGGGAGAAGGCCCAGAGGAAGACCCAGGACCCGCTGGAGGGACTATGTGTCCCGGCTGGCCTGGGAACGCCTCGGGATCCCCCCGGAGGAGCTGGCCGAAGTGGCCGGGGAGAGGGAAGTCTGGATTTCCCTGCTCCGGCTGCTGCCCCCGCGACCCGACCCCGGATAAGCGGAGGAGAATGGATGGATGGATGGATGGATGGATGAACTGCCTTGAAAGCTGTCTTTATGTCAAAAAATGAATTTCCATCAGCTTTCATATTGTGGGCATCACTTCAAATTTTACACAGAGTATGTGGGATTAGACAGGAGCGTACAGCCATAGGGTAATACAATGGAATCCAACAATGATATTGTCTAAAGTTAATGGGGGAATTTTTTTGAGGATGACTGTTTTTTTTAGAGCAGCCTTCGGCCCATCTTGTTCATTCAACAGCTCGTCGTTATTTAGGACATGCCAGATTTAATTCTACTTTTATTTTCTGCACAAGGCAGAGTGGCTCTAAATCCTACCGACTGCACTGGTTTGACACCTCCTTAAATTTTGCTTTACTGACTACAAGTTGCCTCTGCTGGTTTTTACA